GAGGACATCTTTGTAAGGCTGAGATCCTGGCTGCAAAAGGGGTTCACCAAGGGACTGATGTTCATTGGATGGGAAGCTATCATCTTTTGGGCAAGTGGGCATAGTTAAGGAAATCGAAGTGTTCTCCGGCCACCGGAGAACCTGATATTGCTTGCTGCGTTATCAACTACTCCAACCTAAGGTATATGTTCATTTCTAGAATATGATTTCACGAAATTCCTTATCTGAAATTTTAGAATTGAATTTTTAATATCAAATAGTAATTGGGACTACAGTTTGCTTGCATAGGGTTGTCATCGGATATGTAAAACTTTGGTGGTATAAGAAAGTGATGTTGTCGAATTTGTGAAACTTTGGGGTATGCAAAATTTTTTTTCGTTTCTTTTTCATTTGTCGTTGGTCCCACTCATACGTCAGTCTCTTATCAAACACGGTATTCGAAAGTTTATAATCGGATATGTAAGACTTCATATTATTAGGTGGGAAGGTATCATTTTACCAAAAAAAAAAAAAATGTTGGGAAGGTATCATCTCTCGGTTCAGAACTTCATGGGATCACCAGAAGATGTATGGTTAAAGAGATCACCGGAGAAGTTGATCTAATATGCTGCGTTATCAATTACTCCAACCTACGACGTATGTGGGAGGTATGTTTTCATTTCTAGAATGATTTCATGAAACTAATCATTTGAAATTTTGGTTCTTTCTAACCAATTAATTCAGACTCTGGATGATGTGCAGGCGTGAGATGCAAAGTGTGGAAGATGAATTCTCGAGGTGAAAACTGTAACATTAGTTTTGAGTGATTTGGTTAAGGTTAGAACCCATGTTGGCTTAATTTGAAACCTGATTAAACCAGGGTGTTATTCTACCCTTTTGCAGGGGTGGAAGATGAACCGTCCTGTCTAGTCTTGCAATTAAACTTTATTCTTTTTATTTTTCTCGCAATTAAACTTTCTTCGTCTTTTTTTTTTCCTTCTTCCACCCCTGCAAAACGGTAGAATAAAACCATTGCATTTGATGGCTTATTTGACAAATTAAGCACAAACTACAAACCACAAACTTTCTTCTTCTTATTCTTTTTTTTTTTTTTTTGAAATTAAAACCACAAACCACTTAGTCTATTCCATTCAAGTAGTTAATGGGCTTATTTGACAAATTAAGCACCATGTATCAAACGGCATCTAAACCTCACAAGTAATACTTTGTTGGTGATCAAAAAATTACTTAACTTTGCTAGGGCAATTTAAATGATAAATGAATTAATTAAACATTCATATTCGAATTATTTTTCTAGGATGTTTTAACAAATATCATACATATGTTTAATCGGCAATGCATGAGCTAATTAATTAATAAAGAGTAAGATAAATGAGGGAGAGAGGCACGATTCTGAGTGTTTCTTAAGATTAGCGCAGCTCCCTCCACCTTCATGTCCCGTTTTTTGTGTTATACTGGCTGACCTTCTAATCTAAGAAGCTGAGTTGGTTTTGGTTGTGTTGTAGGTGCGATTTCCATCGTCAATTGTGTTTTTCCTTGATACCAAGGTACGTCGTCTTGTTTTAATTATGCCTCTTTTTTTTTTCTTACATTAAATTGTGCTTTTCCTTGATACCAAGGTACGTCGTCTTGTTTTAATTATGCTTTTTTTTTTCTTACATTAAATGAGTAGTCATGAGATAGGAGATAGTCATACCTTTTCGAAAATTTTTCACCTTTTTCAAATGTATGAACTTCATATCACTAATTTAGAGTCTAAAGTTTTAACCATTAAAAACATCTTTAGAAGCTTAATTATGTATAA